AACAAGAAGCTACTAGGAACAAGTGCCACGCTAGTAGTAACAAGTGCGTTACTAGTAGTAACAAGAAGGTACTAGGAACAAGTGCCTTATGGTTGGCAAAGAGGGTCGAATGATTGCATAGTGACGATTCAGTGAGGTTGTGGCTGGATCCAGATCATTCTAGATCCCACCATGTGTTAGAGTCCAACACGTGTTATCATTTGTTATCCCATCCCTTTCTTGATAGAAGTCACGTAATTAGGGGAAGGTTGACGGAAACTCAATCCGGAACTGCAAGAATCACACTGCTGAAATCTGATCAAGTTGATTGATGCCGTTTTTGTTTACATGTAAAAAACATGCTTAAAGCATGCTTGTCCAAATCCGTTTGGACCACCGTTGGTTGCACCGCTTGGACCACCAAGGCGATGTCTCGTGATGGCATGGCACCCTCCTGGCTGCAGGCGATGTCGGGATGGCAACTCCAAGAATCGATCTTTTGAGCCCGGAGGGGTAGGCGCAGTATGCAGGTGCCTTACTAGTAGTAACAAGTGCCACGCTAGTAGGAACAAGTGCATCGCTTCTAATAACAAGTGCCTTACTAGTAGTAACAAGAAGCTATTAAGAGGTATAAGCCGAGTATAAAGCTAGTTAGGAGCTATGTAGCTATTAGGTATAGGACGCTCCTAGTAACTGGACGCAAGATAGCACATGCGATTCATTTGGTTCCTAGATTCATTTCCAATTGGCATGGGATGTCGCAAGTCAATCAGATGTTGTTCAAACTTCATTAGCGTCAACCAGAGGTTCTTCGTTCAGCTACCTTTCAACAATCATCATTTGGAACAGGGTTTTCTCAAGAACTAGTTGGTCTCCACTTCAGGAATAAGTATTGTTGATTGTTGCACCCCTAGATGCAAACACTAGAAACCTGTCAAGTGGTGTTCCCATTTTGTTCCCAAGTGGTGCCAGACATCTCTCTTCTACCATTGACGGAATAAATTCTGCAGCACCTACAATGGACACCATTTGATTTGCATCTACTAGGAGCAAGAACGCTACTAGGGGCTCCTGGCCTTACTACTAGGAGAGTCCTTGCTCCTAGTAGTAAAGCCAGGAGCCCCTAGTAGCGTCCGATCGCTCCTATGCTTCCGCGCCTCTATGGTGTGCCGTGTGCCAGGAAGCCCGCAGCTGTGCTGGGTGGTGTGGTTCTTTGGCCGCAGTGCTGGCAGCCTTCTTCGACGTGAAGAGCTTGGCGTCCTTCCTGAACATCGGCGTCCTCTTGCGGCTGGACCGCATGCAGCTTCTGCTGTCCCGCGAGGGTGTTGATATAGCACCGGAGTTCATTTTGTTTGTCAAAATGTGATAAAATGTGTCAGGTGTCAACCTATCTCGAAAGACTAGCCGTTGAACCTTAACTTAAAGAGCAATTGGTTTGAGAGGGCATGGTTCAACTGCCCGGGTGTGTCCCTTCCAATGGTCGCAGTTCCCCGCCGGGACGGCTTTTCTTCGCAAACAACTTTTTCACCCAGTGGAGTTCGGAGTTATCGCAGAAACATGCTCAGTTTGTCCATGAACTGCATGTTTAAACTGCTGGACAGAATGAGCATGTCCTTTCCAGCTGTGGGGCGTTTGTTTGCTGTTTCTCGGAAATCGTGTTCAGAATCTTTCGTGGCAGCTCTTTGGTAGTGAGATGTAGTGAACCTTTGTGGTACTTCTACCACCGGTGTTCTGTTCCATAAGATCTCATGAGGTCATATGCAATGACTGCTGCCTCAGTCTTGCTCATCAACACCTGCCACAAGAAAAGAGCATCTTGGTCATCGACCCAATGGGTTTTGGCGGATCGACCCAATGGTGGGATCCAAACCCGGACTCTTTCTGGCCGAAGAGGCTTTTTTGGAACGACCTATTTGGACTCGATTCATTTTGTTTCTTTAAAGCCCGCCCTTACTTAAGTAGGCGCCTACTTAATGAAGCAAGGGAAAAGTTTGCTATTAGCTACTGTACTGGAACTAGCAGGCTACTACTACACATGGACGCAGGATAGCTCACGCTTCTTCAAGGAAGCTCCCCCGCCTGAGGGCAGATGGAGCTTCCTTGAAGCATTCATGCTTGAGTGCAAAACTAATTTAGGTTTAATTCTAATAGCTTTTTGTTACTACTAGTAAGGCACTTGTTACTAGAAGCGAGGCACTTGTTCCTAGTAGCTTCTTGTTCCTATGCTGAATTGGTTGCTACTTTTTGGTGTTGATGAGGTCAGTTGGTGCTTGAGATGGCTTGAGGCTTGAGCATCAGCTTGATAGGTTCCCAGTAGAATTAACTGATTAGCTACCTTCAGACAAGCCAACGCTAAGAATGGTCATCTAACCAGACGCACAAGAGCTGGAACATCCCACAGCGATAGGTGCCAAATCGGACTCAAACGACGGCCATCTGCCACGGCCAGTGCCTAGGAGCGTCCCATGATGCTGGTGGCAGCCGCGTTCTCTGGTTTGCTCTCCATGGGCGAGCTGGCGCTTCTTGAAGCGAAGGGATGAGAAGAGTGGGAGATGGTCGGAGTGAGGTGAAGATGGTATGATCTTGTGAACTTTCCACCTTTTCATAACAAGAAGCTACTAGGAACAAGTGCCACGCTAGTAGTAACAAGTGCCTTACTAGTAGTAACAAGAAG